TGGGTCATCAAAAGAATATTCATGAATTTAAATTGGAAAAGGGTGGGCGGGGCGGCCACTGGCCCGAGGAGGGCGGCTCTTCTCCTCCAGGATCTTTCTGTCCAGGTCTTGCTCCCCTCCCTTCCCCACTGGGCATCCTGCCCCTCACCATGTCCGCTGTGCCAGGCCTGGCAGAGCAGCTCCCGCCTCCCCTGTAAATGACTCCAGCTCTTGGCCTGTCTTAGTTCGGAGCCCTAGACAGAGAATGTACGGGGTTGTCTTTGGGTTAGATGCTGACCCAGAAAGGTGGGGCCACAAGACCACAAGGATCCCCTAGTCACCCTTCATCAATAGCAGTGGGCAGGAGAGGGATCCCAAAAATGTGAGCATGGTAGTCAAGGAAATGGACATCACCTCAAGAGACAGGTATTTGAGTCTTCAGAGAAAAGCCTGATATTCTTTCTGGAACTCAGTTTCTCCCCCCATAAACTGAGAGGATTGGAATGTAATGAGTTCCATGTGCCAATGGAGTTCCACAGAGACAGTCAGTCGTTCCAGGGATGTCTTGGAAATCAAACACTTTAGAAAGTGCATCATGGAATCCTATCAGCAACAAAGCACCCAACTAAAATGGATTAACTAATAAGGACATTTATTATCACCCCCCTACCTTCCGTAAGCTTATATTCTAGCAGAGAGAAATGTCAGCTTTCTCCTTCAAGGTTTGCAATCTCATAGTTGAAAAAATGGCTGCCACAGCTCCAGGCATCACAACTTCAATAACAAAAGGCAGGAAGAAGAGGTTCTCCTAGAAGAGTTCTTTCCATTAAGAAAGAAAATCTCTCCCCAGATCATTCCCCCTCCCCAACTTATCCATGGGTCTCAATGGATACTCACTGGGGAGGATCTCAGTGCCCTAGTTATATAGGTTGAAGAGAAGCTGGTAAAATCAGTTTCTGGCATTTTTCTGTCATGGGATGTAATCTTTGAAAAAAAGGAAAATGGAGAAAAGTGGCTTTTAGGGAGGCTGTGGTCCCAGATGCTTGGGAGGAGGCAGGAGGATTGAGCTTGAGAGTTTGAGGCCAGCCTGGGAAAAAAATGGTCTCCAAAAAAAAAGGAGGAGGAGGAGAAGGAGGAGGAGAAAGGAAGGGAAGGAAGGAGGAAGGAAAAGAAAGAAAAGGAAAAGAAAATGTTTAAAAAAAAAAAAACTAATGGTTGCTGTCATCATCCACATCCACCCGCCTGTGCCCAGCCATTTACAAGTTCTCACATCAACAAAGTTGTGCTGCCAGTGTCGGGGACGCTGACCTGGCCCGTGAGCCATCTTTCTCTCTAGGTGTCACCAACCTAGAAATTGCCATACAGTGTCTGCGGCAGACTTGAACTCGGCCCAGTCCAGCTGCTCTCCAAGCAAGAGTAAGACCAGTGGTGCGGGGCAACAATAGGGGTGAAGGGCACTGATGGGATTCCCGGTGACAGGGTGACTCAAATTTGGAACAGCAAAACTACAAAATGAAGACAAGAGCAGACTCTAGCCAAGGGGCCATCTCTAGTGACTAGCAAAAGAGTCACACTGTCTTACATAGTAACGTTGACCTCGCAACCCACGAAGTCCAGGCAAGGGCAGCTCCAGGCAGGACCCGTCAGGGCTCCAGTCCCACCTGTCCGCTCCTCCTGAGGTCATCAACCTCAACATCAGTGACTGCATTGGGGTCTCTCTCTGAGACAGGGCTCTCTTCCAGAACCCCCCACCCCCCACCCCCGCAGACTTTCTTCCTTCTCATTGGCTGGAGTTGGGTCACGTGTCCTTTGCTAACCCAATCATAACTTAGGGAAGTGAAAGGAACCTGTTTGATTTGGACCAATCAGGACTTGCCTTCCCAGATTGACACTAGAAATTCCCCTAAAATATGGAGAGCTGTTCATGAATAAAATCAGGACGATTTCATCAAAGGAGAAAAGGAAGGATCTTGGGTAAACCAGCAGTGGGGTCTGCGCCGTTTGCCCTTTCAGCAACATTTTAAATTGGCTTTTTATTGAAGGATACAGACATGTGCACACAAGTATCATAAACTCCAATGAGTTTTGACAAAATGGAATGCACCCTGGTAAACAGAACCCAAATGGAGCAACCCAGGACCAGCTCCCCAGAGGACCTGAGAGAGTCCCCTGCGGTCCCTGCCCTCTCCCAAGTGAAGTGCTTTCATGACTTCCGTCATCAAAAATTAGTATTGCCCACCTATGAATAATGTATGAATAATTATAAATTCATTTACATGAATTTACAAAAATACAATAAACAAATAAGATTTATATAAGAGCATGAGTCATGTCTGAGTTCTTTTGCTCAACTTTCTATTTATGTAGCTCATCTGGATTTTTGTTGATGGTTGTAAATGTTGAATCTCTTTGCTGCCCAGTATGCCATGATGTAAATGTACTCAGGTTTATCCGAGTTTCCTATTTCTAGGCATCTGGGTAGTTTCTGGTTTCTTTAACAGTTACAAAGGCGATGAGTTGAAGAAGAATTTGTCATACCACAGGGAGAAGAACTCAGGAGAAGGGGTGCACTGATTCTCCACCTTCTGAAGAAAAGGCAGGAGTCACCCCACGCTGCTTCTTGCAGATGGCAGCCCCTGGGTGCCTTCTGCCTGAAGTTTGGGCTCAGGAGTGAGCAGAAGATCAAAGAAAGATGTGTGGACCAGGAGCGAGAGGTGGGTATTTGGTGACTGTGTCCTCCCCACTGTGCCACCAGCAGGCCAGCTGTCACTCAGGTTGGCACGTGACCTGGGTACATGTGGGGCCCTCCGACACACCGTGCTATCCAGGTCTAAGCAATAAGATATTGTTGTAGGGACAAATGAGGCAAGGCACGGAAGATAGCAGGAAACAGTTTTATTTGGCTGCAGCCAGGTTCAGAGGGTACAGCTTTTGCTGTAATCAATCAATCCCCTGAACC